CTGCAAAGCCAAAGGAAATCCAAAAAGTTTATTTAGTGAGATGTCATTACACTGTCTTCTCATACTCATTGATGAACACTGACCTTTTAGCTTTCATTTGGTTTTGTTTTTCTTCCACATTTTCTCCATTGTGAGGGTGGTGAGGCACTGGAACAGGTTGCCCAGAGCAGTTGTGGATGCCCCTTCCCTGGAAGCGTTCAAGGCCAGCTTGGATGGGGCTTTGAGCAACCTGGTCTAGTGGAAGGGGTCCCCGCCCATGGCAGGGGGTTGGAACTAGATGATCTTTAAGCTCCTTTCCAACCCAAACCATTCTACGATTCTATGATTTCCTCCAGTTTCCTGCCATTTCTGATCTATATTAGCACTGAAATATGCCTTTGCAACTCTGTAGAACCACCTGACTAACCAAACTGTACATGAATACAGAAAATTCTTCAATGTTTATAAATCCTAACTCTTTCATTTGGCTTATCAATTTAGCCTATCATCTTCTCTTTTGAGAGGACTTAGTCAAGAACCCAGTGGAGAACTTTTATACATGGCAGGTTCATATCCTTGTATGACACGGCTTGTAGGAATATTTGATTTTTTACCTCATGCCTGTATCACTGAAAGTTCTCTCCTTCAGTTTAGTTCTTTGTTTTGTAGATAATCTATATTTTGTGGCTTGCCTCCCTCTCCTTTTCCTTCACTGTTCAGATTAACAGCTGAGTCTGATGAGCAGATGGCTTGCAGATCTCTGTTAGCAAAAAATGTATGTAAAAAGAGTACAATTTTTCCACTCCTATCACATGCCCTATAGGTTGATTCAGTTTGCTACTTTCATTAATCAGAAATTTTAAATATTATAGGGCTAATATATTTTTCTCAGCACTAAGATGTACAAGACAGCAGTGATCTGGAATTTCTAAACCTTAAATATTTAGAGGGAATGATGCTTCTCAGTGCTCTGCTCTATGTTAAACGTAATTTCTCTGAGTAGATGCTGCCTTTTCCACTTTGTCATCTCTCAGTCAGTCTCCTACAATGTTTCAAGAATGAATACAATTTTGTTTTTATCCTTGCCTGTTTATCTGCTGAGCTGTGAGACTCTCAGAAAGAGCATGACTGGCTTGCATGGCCTTGATGCTTATGAGGTACTAAGTGGCTTGTCTCATACCTTTCACAGCACGAAAGAGTAGAGAAAGACCATGTATACAGAACTTCCATTAACTACTGTCATCTTAGCAACAGTGTCCCCTGGGAACATAGAAACATTTAGGTAGGAAAAGACCTTTAAGATCATCAAGTCCAACTGTTAACTACTCTTCAGTTTTTTGTCTTGCCACTTCTTCCCTTCTCTTTAAACACCTTATAACATAAAATGGTAAGTAGATTAAGTTTTACTTAAAGTTGGAGGACTTTTTAGCCATGAATTTCAGTTTTTAGCAGATGATAGGAAGAGAGACGGTATATCCTCAAACACGGACTGTGTTCCTCTGAAATTCCTTACGTATGACTGGACGCATTCCTGTGCAACCTGCCCCGGGTGATCCTGCCTTGGCAGGGGGTTGGACCAGATGATCTTCAGAGGTCCCTTCCAACCGCTACCGTTCTGTGATTCTGTGATTCTGTATTGGGCTGCTAAGATGATATACTTGGACCCCTGCTTAACTAGTAGATAACGATGTTGCATTTGTAAATTCAGTCTTTTATTTATAACTTTGACAGCATATGTACAGAGTATATTTTAATGCTGGCTTTGAGCCATCTTTATTTATCCTCTTCATCTCAGGGATTAACTATAGGATTCTGTTTAAACTGCACAGCCTTCACAGCTTTCTGCAAAGACATTGAGCTTGTTAGACTCATCGCAGCAGATACACCCTCCCAAGAAGTCACTTCAGGTTTTTTTCAGATACCATAGCCCGGTATCCACATTGCTCACCAGATGTCCTGGGATGCATGCTGGGACAGGACCTGACAGCTACCGCTCAAGATTATGACACCAGAAAATCCCGATTTGATCTACATCACAGTGTGAAATTTGTAAGCACCAACGGAAAAGCATGCACCTCTATGCTTAAAAAGATCATTTAATACAATGAGCAAAATAGCTGAGCTACATTGTATCGTAATGCACATTGGAGTAAGGTCCACTGGATTAAAGTCTTAGAGCAGTACACTACAGAACATCTGCAATGAGGGACTGCAGAACTGTAGCTGTCCTGATGTAAACAAATACATAAAAATATTGAGCTCCTAGAAAAAAAGATAATAAAGTTCAAGAGATTTTAAACTAGCCTTATCTCTGACACAGATGCCCTCTCTTTTTTTCTGAGTTAATTCTCGTTTGAATCAAGACTTGTCTTTTAGAACCCATTTAATTTTGATTTACAGATTTGTCATGATCCTTCCCCATCACCACTGCAGCTACACTGTTAAAATGGCCTGTGACATGATCTGTCAAAAGCACAAATAGCTCAACTTGTATTGTTATTGGATTTTCTTATATGTAAATCTTCTACTCTGAAGTGCCTTTTATTATCACATAAGTAATGTTCTAACTCTCCTGCTTCCATTTTTAAAAACAAAAACATAGAAATAGTCTTTTTCTTATCTTCTTTGATATTCCAAGAATATCGGGGCTTACTGAAAATCTGTATTAAAAGTCCAAAAGGCTGCTCAGATTTTTTTGAGATCTATTTGCTAAAAGTTACCAAGAGCTGCTGATTGAAAGTATATGGCATTACTGGCTCCTCTTTAATATCCTGTTAAGTTACTGTTGAAATGGAAAGTATTTTATCACAGTCATGTTCTGACATCAATACTTGATCTTTCTCCAAGTACAGAACTATGTTGAGTGCTATTCAATATAAAAGATATACTTACATAGAACTTACACTATTGAATGCTACTGGATTTTTAAGCAATACTATTGATAACTCCACCATTGCTACATTAATAGTGGACTTCTTAGCATTTCTTGTATTCTTCATATGAGAAGTGAAAGAGTACTTTTTATAACCTGTCACTCCACTGACTGATGATTATGTCCTTTTTTTCCTTCCTACATTTTACCGATGCCTAGCCTATAGTTTTCTATCAAATTCTTTTTCCCCCCATTATTTTGTTTTCTTATTATGCTTGCTATTGTTACTTTCACATTTACTCCTAGGTGAGCTGAATGTTTTTATATATGTAGTCTTTTTTTCCAGTTGTAATTCTAGCAGAACATTATTAAATTTTTCTCAACATCATCCACATTCCATCTCAATTATTTCTGTGAGGGTTTTGACTCCTAGTTATTTCAGGTCTATGATATTGGACATTTAAACCAGAAATGCATGTATGCGTATGTAAATATATCATTCATTTGTCATATAAATTACAGAACAAAGATAATAATTGGCTGCATTTTGGTTTTGTAATCAATTCCTCTATAAGTCAGGACGTGGATTAAAACAGGGGTTGTAACATGCAGTTTTCACCTGTGCCTCTGCGATTCTCCCTTTCTGTCCCTTTGAGGGTAAATTCCCAGTGACAGTATCTTACTCTGGGAGCTGGAGAACTCACGATGATGGGGGGGTTATATTGTTTGGGGCTACTTTCAGTCTATATTTCCTTTGATGATCCCAGTCATTTACAATGTTTCTGCTGTGAATGCTAACATGATTGTGCAGCAGTCTTTGTATGGGATTTTATCCGGTCATCTCAATTTTTTTCCCAGCCTGCTTTCCTTCACTTCTCTCCAGCAGGGGCTCACTAGTGCTTTTGCTCTGCTTTTCTGCCACATACTGCTGATTTTATCACAAAATAATACTTGTCTCCTGTAGAAAAAGCAATACATGCCATACCTCCCCAGATCCTTTATGTGTACTGCCAACATTGTGATATAATGGTGTCAAGTTGGCTTTGTTGATTTTCAATACCTTATAAAAAACACAGCAAGTATTTAAGGAACTGGCCTCTTCCTGAGCTTCATAGTGTTATCTACAGGGCTTAAAGCCTATTTGATTTGTTACCTGTTTTCTTGAAGCTCATAGTCTGCCCCTGAGGTAATGACGGATCTTACTTTGGCTCTCATTTACTCCTTCCATAAATAAAAAATAAACTCCAAGCAGCTGGAAACTCGACCCTTTGTGCCAGTGGAAGACATGGATTTTTCCTGCTTTAGTTACCTTATTTCATTACATTGTTTACTCAACATTCTGAAAATGTAACGTAAGTGTAAATATTGCAGAATTCGACACAGATTCATGAACATTACTGGTATTTCCAGTCTCATACTGACTTACGTTATTTCCAATGGAAGGAGATTTAAAAAAACACAATATTTTTAATCATATTCAATGTTCAGAAAAAATGGGAATAGCTTGATGACCTTCTTAATAAGATTTTAACCTGAAATCTTTTGTCCTTTTAATTTAGGTCAAATAAGCTCTTTATTTTGTGCATATAACTCTGTATCCTTATTTAATTATTCTCTGGATGTAGCTATTGTTAAGCCCCTACAATTTAGTACAGTTCAGCACATATTTCCAGTTGCTTACAGGAACACACTGGGGAATGTGCTTTAATATCACTTCACACTCATTAAAATACAAATTATTCCAGAGTATGGGTATCGTACTGCCATGAATGAATAAATTTTAATCATAAAATATACAAGTGAAAATTCAACCTATTCAAGAATATTGTTTTTGTATGACAGTACTTGTATCTGAATAAATATATTGAGTGAAGTATTTGCATATACAGTAGTATGAGTGGTAATGGGTATACATCTACACAGAGTTGAAAAACAAGAAATGTTGACAACTGTTTTATTTCTAAAAAGAATTATTATTGCTAATCTATATTTCTAATATTTCTAATAATCTTTCTAATACTTCTAATAAAATGTTTCTAATTTTTTTATATTTCTCAAAACTCATAACTCTGCCTCAAAAAACATCTTTAATATATGTCACAATGCTGAAAGATATTTACTTCTTTTTTTTCTTCTTCCCCTCTTGTAGATATTTTTAAATGCAGATACAATCCGTCTGGGAAATCTACCAGTGGGTTCCTCTTCCTCCTCCTCCTCCTCCTCCTCATCCAGCTCTTCAACGCCTCGCCAGACTATCTATGAGCTCTGCGTCTGTCCCAATGGTAAACTTTACCTGTCCCCAGCAGGAGCAGGCTCCACATGTCAATCCAATAGCAACATCTGCTTGTGGAGCTAGAATGACTCCAATTTATCCTCACACCAGAAAAGCCTTTTGTTACTATCCCTCTGCTTCACAGTTCTGCTCGGTTTCCCTTGTGACAAGTTCGAAGCTTCAAACGGCCTGCAGAGCAACTTCTTCCAGTGTAAGCAGGAATACAATCCGGCGCTGCCTTCTCTTGTGGTTTGTGTTGCCACTCGACGTAGAGATGGGAGTGAGATATTCAGAAATCAATGTATTCTTCATCAGGAAACCTGGAACATAATATCACCTTATCCAAAAGGGAGAATAACACAGGTGCCTTTGCTACATGAAGTGAAGCACATAGTTTTAGATTTTTGCAGGACCTGGATATGAACTGCACATATATATATACAGTACATAAACAAATTTGCCCAGAATCTGATGGTGAGATTAATTGGTTCCCCCTGTATGATAAATAACTTTACTGTCTGAAAGCACAATTTTCCATTCATCTTTTTGGATGTAAACTTTTATCCCTGAATTTTAAAATTTTGAAGCATTGTGTGATGCTTGCTTTACTAAACAATTAAATTCAGTAAATGGTTTTTAACACAAAAAGAGACAGAATCCCTCCCTGAGTTTGGTTTCTTTAAAAGCGTGTTGTTACTCTTTGTCTACTAAGTGTAGGGTTTTGTACACTAGGTAAATTTTGGATGTGCTCAGCAATATTACCTTGCAGAGTTAAAAAGATATCTGCTCTTGTTTGTCAGATCTGAATGGCCTTATGTAGTACATTCGTGGCTACTGCATGTGAAGTGATTGCTTTAAGTAGAACATACAGTTTCTGGAAAAGAAGAACAGGGTAAAGAGGGAAATACTGATGGTATGTTTGTTGATCAGCGTATTGCTCTTTACAAGGCATTTATAATTGGCAAATGCAAAACCAAGCAAAAATCTTCAAAGGCACATCTTGTCCATTTTCTAGCTGTGGCTAGCTGCTGCCATTTGGACACAGTGCAAACGTTAGTAATAATGCAATGTGTAATGCTGAGAAGCAATGCACTAACTACTGGCATGACATTTGCGTTTATTATTCTCTTTTGTTTACCATCTGCTCTTAAGATTTTCAAAGTAATAGTAAGATATATAAAAACACATATTAAATGGCATTCGATATTAAAAAGTACATTGGTACTACATTGACTTTATCAGGTCTGTGTTTAAATTGTGCAGCCCCATTTGCACTCAGATATCACTACTGACTTCGTTTTTTGACGAGTTTGATGTGGGGTTTCTTTCTTGTATCAATGTTCGTGCTTGTTTGGCTTGGTTGTAATTGAAATCTTATAAAAATGCTTTGGTATGCTGCAAGTAAATTTATCACAACATTGATTAATGAGAGTATCTTGAAACTTGCAGAACCCAGGAATGTAAAACAGTATAAAAATGTTTCCTATTGTGGAAGATGGCTTGATTACATGAGGTAAGTGTGCTTTTTAATTCTGTCCTTTAAGTTACATCACCTAGCATGTAACTTTAGAGGCTTCTGAATGTAAGATCACCAATGCAATGACGGCTTTTGCAAGGTAACTAAAGTCAGGCCAGGCAGTTCAAGGTGGGTATTTCTACACAATTATTTTTTTCTTAGAGGAAAATAAATGAAAATGAACAAACTAATACTGTGATTACCTTTCTATTTTATTACCACCTAAGAAGGTTCATTTTGTTTTCACTTCAGGTGAAATTCACTCCTATGCAGAAGACCAGCACAAGACGTGTCCACGGCTTGACTGGTGCTTGCCTTTCTATTGGCCCTCTTCTGAGGTCTGAATTTCACCCTGTAGCAAGAATGCTATATTTGCTGTTTCTACCTGTTAAAGGAGGATTTTAAATTGATTATCTCTTCAAAAGAAGGCTGTTAACAGGTGATTTGTTATTTCATTGAGAATGTTATTCTTTTTCTTGGAGAGAAAATATGTTAGAGAATATTGCAAGAATATACATTAGAAGCCTGAGGATTTTTAGTAAGAGGGACAGAAAGAGATACAAATGACAAAGAACGTGATAATAAAACATTTGAAAGTGTAGCCATA